GTTTCTTAAGTCAAAAGCAGATAGAGTGTTTTCCCCTTGATCTTTGCGTAAATAGTAAGGTTTTAGAATTTATTTATGCATCCCAAAATAAAAGAATGGAAATGTATTGTCTTCACAGGTTGTATTTAATAGCAAGTCATATCTTGTGCATATCATGAGATGAAACAACTGATGATTTTTAGAAGTCTTTTTTTGTTATTGTCAGTGGCTGGGTAGATATCAGTGATGAATGGTATCTGTCAGAGATCTCTACTGGGATTGATGTTCCTTAATACCTTCATCCATGACAATAACAGTGAGGTCAAGTGCACTCTCAGCAAGTTTGCGGATGACTCCAAGATGTGAGGTGTGGTCAATATGCCCACGAGGTGGGATGCCATCCAGAGACACCCAAATAGGTTCAAGCAGTGGGCTTAGGAAAACCTGATGAGGTTCAACAAACCAAAATGCAAGGCCCAGTCCTGCACCTGGATCATGGCAGCCCCACTATTGAAACAAGCTGGGGGATGAAAGGATGTTAAACAGACCAGCTGAAAAGTATTTGTGAGTACTGGTAGATGATAAGCTGAACATGAGCCAGCAATATGCTTTCTCAGCCATAAGCTGAACATGAGCCAGCAATATGCTTTCTCAGGCCCAGAATGCCAGTTGTATCCTGAGTTGAATCAAAAGAAGTGTGGCCAGCAGGGCAAGGGATGTGATTCTGCCCCTTTGCTCTGTGCTGGTCTGGAGTACTGTGTCCAGATGTGGAGTCCTCTGTACAGGAGAGACATGGACTTGTTGGAGTGCATCCAGAGGATGGCCACAAAAATGATCCAAGAGATGAAACACTTCCCCTATGAGGACAGGCTGAAAGAGCTGCGGCTGTTCAGTCTGGAGAAGAGAAGACACTGAGGTGACCTGATAGAGGCCTTTCAGTATCTAAAGGGGAGCTACAGGAAGGAAGGGAACAGATTCTTTAGCAAGATCTGTTGTGATAGGAAAAGGGAAAATGGTTTCATTTTATATATATGGAAAAAAAAGTTATAGTAAGGGTAGTAAGGTGATGGATGTCCCATTCCTGGAGGCATTCAAGGTAAGGTTGGACAAGTGTCTGAACAGCCTGATCTAGCTGTACATGCCCCTGTTTATTGCCGGAAAGTTGGACTAGATGACCTCTAATAGTCTCTTCCAACGCAGATGATTCTATGATTCCAAATAAATCGATGGCAATGTCACTATGGCAACTTAAACAATACTCAATACCAATGTTTAACAACTGAATTGAAGGCTTGATTTCTATGTATTTATTTATTTTGCATGTTATGAGAATTGAGATACATAACTCAGATGTAATCTATAGGTCAGGAAAATTGTTATTCCCCTTTACTCAGCATTCTTTACGCTGTGTCTGGAGCACTGCCACCAGTTTTGGAGTCCCCGTATAGGAATACATTGATGAGCTTAAGGGAGCTTGGCATAGGGCCATTTAGGTGTTCTGAGAAGATAAAAAAAAATCTATAGCAAATCAGGTCTGAGTAAATCAGGTCTAATCAGATTCTGGAGAACCACTTTTGTAGAGCACTGGAGAGATCTTCCCCTAGCATGCTGCGTGCATCCTGTCTATTAAGAGGTTCCTCCTTCCTTCCATGTCATGGAGCCTCTTCTTTTGTATAGCAATCATATATCTTCTCACAGGCTAGAATGCCATCTGCATAATAACACAAAGCAAAGGATTTAAGTGTAAGGCCCAGCAGAGTAGAGATGGCCTAGTCAAGATCCCTAACTCCTTGAATATAATGTCTTCTGCAATGTGTTCAGCCTGGGGGAGAGAAGGCTTTCAGAAAGCCTAGTACTGTCCTTCCAGTACCTATAGGAAGGCACAGTGTGAGGCTGGAGCCAGCTTCTTCACTGAGATGATGGAAGAAACATGAGAGACACGGGTCAGAAGCAGGGGAGGTTCTGGTGGCACAGAAGGAAAGCTTTTCTACTACGACAATTAGTAAGTATTTTGAACAGATTATCCAGGAGTGTTGTGGGATCTCAGTTTTTGGAGGTTTTCAAGGTGTGACCCAACAACTGCTAAGTAAACTGATCTGAATTCAGTGTTGACTCTGGTTTGAGCAGGAGGTTGGAAAAGAAGCCCTCCAGGCTGAACGACCATGTGATTCTGAAATTCTAAGCAAACACCTAAATTTAAGTGTCTTAATTTGTGAGCTGAATCCCTCCCTACCAGCTACCTCACAAACATTAGATGAGAGTCCACACTGAGAAATTCAACAGAAGTTAATTACAATGCACATTCCCACTCTACTGAAAGTAAATAATTTAGGGAAAGAATTTAACTTGGACAGATAGGATTGGGAATGATACAAAGCTGGGCAAGAGGAAGAAGAACAATCACAGTAAAAGAACAGCTAAGTCTGCTTAAACATTTTCATCTGTTATTCTGTTTTTCTTTTTACAGACAGTTATATTCGCAGAGTGGAATCAATTTCAGTATAGCATTATCCTAAATGTCAGCTCGTGTGGATGAAAAGACTGGAAAGAGCGCAATTATAAACTTGTGAAACCATTAACATACATTGAACTAATTTTAGGCAAAATGAAGTGGAGTCTTACCTCACTAGGACAATTTGTACAAGAAGGGCCCCTCCCTTTTTATAAACATGACAAAAGTTATGCGTTGCAGTGTGCTTGCCCTTCAGCCTGTGTCCACGTGCTGAGTCTGGCACCTATTACAGCATGTGTGCTGCCCAGGCTCTGTGTGTTCCCAGGGTTCTTGCTGTCCTAGGTGTAGGTGAAAAAGCATGTTTTCTCAAAATATATCTATTCATACATGATGCATTGTGAAAATTGTACAAATATTATTGTGGTACTATATTCTGGTTAGTCTTCCAATACTATCCCACAAATAACTTGTGTTTCATATTCTAGTATTTTTAGACATAATTCCTTGATCATCTTTCAGATCATGAAGTGTAAATTTATCTTCTTTACCTACCCCGGTCTTTGTTTTCTATTCAGCATGTTCATGTTTCAATTCACTTAGTTCTAACACTGCCTACATGTAGGTGTTTATTCAGCCTGCTGGAATAACAAAGAACATGCCTGGTTTTTTGTTAATTCGTACAGTGAGGTTGTCAGGGTAAATGATTCTGGAGCACACACCTGAAATTTTGTCTTCACCTGAAGGTAGAACTGAAGATCCCAGTCTGTGCTGCAGCAGAGTGCTTGCAACCAGAAGAATTGCCTGACATTCTCAGTCTGTGGTCAACTGAGTTATTCTCCTGAAAGTTACTGAGCGAAGGATGAAGGGAAAATCATTTGTTCCCTTGTAGTCTTGCTGTGCTGCATCCCACTACTTGGTATGTATTATAGGCTGGGTGGAAAATAAATAAAATAATGGAATCTGAGTTTGTTACAGACAGCCTTCCAATTAGGAAAAAATTATCAGGTATAGTAGATTAAGTGGTTATGATTCATAGTCTTTGCAACATGATCATAGACAGAAGCTGTTAGAGACTCAGGCAGCTGCAGTAGTGTTCAGACAAATCTGGTCTAAGGATACTAATAGCTGCTGTCAGTGGCAAAATTTATGGACACTGTTCTGCTTTTTCTTTTGTCTGCTTTCATAAGCTTAGCCTTGCCTGAGGTATTAATGTCAGTCCCATAGTGAGATGGAAGGGGAAAAAAGATGGAGAGAGAAAAGAAATGTCACTGTGTGTACAAACCTTTGGAGTCTCTCAGCATCCTATTTATGCATTTTGCCCTACCCCTGTCTGTTGATGAAAACATTCAGTGCCAAGGAAATGTAAATCTGTTCATGTGACTCCGCAGCTGCTTTTATAATATAGTCTTGATCACAATGATAAATCAAGATAGATGTAATATACTGTATATGTATACTGTGCTATTCGCGTAGCGTGGACAGAATTATGACCTAATCTGTTACCTCTTCAGAAGAACTTCAAATTACCACTCTTCTGACCTTATCCAAAAGGATATGAGCGCTCTATCTTTAGAAAAGTTTGCATACAAATATGTGTTATCTTTAATGTTAATTCTTTTTATTAAATCCATCTTTTTGTGATTGAGAGGACAGACTGAGGGAGAACAAATGAAATTAAATCAATATTGTTATTCTTATCTGCCACTACCAATATGCAGAAGTTACACTGAAAGAACAATGACACTCTTATGGTTGTGATACACCTCACTGCACAAAAATAAAAAGGATTAGACAGTGAAAAATGATCTCTCAGCCTTTAGCACTGTCGTTGAATAGACACCCTTAAAAAGTATTTTATTGTAATGAACTTTACTCAGTTGATTTTTCCACAGAATTTTCACTTCTTTTCCTATTAAATTCTCAGTAGACTCGTAGTCCTACTAAAGTAATTTATTTTACATGTGTCATTTTTTATTTTACTTAGGAAAAAAAAAATCTGAAGCGCAAGTTCTTCTTGAAAGAAAGGCAGTATTTTTAGGGAAGTAAAAACATTATTTTTCCCCTTCAGAATCAGGTGACTCAAAAAAACAAACAAGCAAACCAAAGCAAACCAAACAAACCACTTTGGAAAAATGTATTTATTTGCCTCTGCTGCATTTAGGATGTGATCTTGCCCCAGTAACCCAGGGGACTGCAGTTATGATGCATCTGAGCTCAGGGGCCTAACTTTCCGTCTACGTACAAACATTCCTTCTGATTAAGCTGAAGCACACATTTCTGCAATGAATAAAAAATATTTGAACGTGCTCCCGAGAGTAATATCATTTAAGCATGATTTTGGCCACAGCTATTTACAAGTTAAGCTTTTGACTGGAGTAATTTAATTATGTAGAGCCTGTGAAGTTCTCCCTTTATTTATGTCTTTCGCCCACTTGTGTGGCTTGTGCTGCTATTGGCTCCGGTGCCGGCAGCCTACTCGATGACTCTGGAGTTACATAAGGCTCCACTCAGAGCGTATATAAAGCCTTTTTGCACTCCAGCAAGAGGCAGAATTTCATTGAGACACAGGTCCACTGCTTTAGTTCACACAAGCAGGAGGAGATTTGTTTGAAGATATCCTGAAACCTGAACCCTTACTGGTTTATTGCTGGCTGGCACTTCAAAGCTTTCATCCTGAGTCGCAAGTAGCAGCTACTGGGAGTAGCTTCTGTGCACTATGAAGAATTTTTCATTTCCTATGCAGGATAGCACACATCAGACTGAAAGTCCTCCTCACAGATTTCTGAGTTTGACAAATAAGTCAGATCCCGTTGGAAGACCGGAAAGAGATGAGCAATTAGCTCAAGTAGAGATTGCTGTACTGGGGATGATATTTCTGACAGCGTCTGTGGGCAATTTTATTCTCATTCTGGTGCTGTGGAGAAGAAGAAAGAAGCTCTCTAGGATGTATGTATTCATGCTGCACCTCAGCATAGCTGACTTAGTGGTAGCTTTTTTTCAAGTGCTGCCTCAACTCATATGGGATATTACAGATGTTTTCATAGGGCCAGATTTCTTGTGCAGAATTATCAAGTATCTGCAATTGCTAGGCATGTTTGCCTCTACTTATATGATAGTGGTCATGACAGTGGACAGATATCAAGCAGTTTGCTACCCTATGGTCACTTTCCAAAAGAGGAGAGCTCTGTGGAATATTCCCATTTGCACCAGCTGGTCTATATCCTTGATTCTTAGCCTACCACAGGTATTTATCTTTTCTAAGACTGAAATATCTCCAGGTATCTTTGAATGTTGGGCTGAATTTATTCAACCGTGGGGTCTAAAGGCGTATGTGACTTGGATTTTTGTAGTCATATTCTTCATTCCCTCCACCATCCTTATCACATGCCAAGTTAAAATTTGCAAAATAATCAAAAGAAATATACATGTGAAAAAACAGAATGAATATGAAGTAACGAATCAGAAGCAAATCCTGCCATCCCGAGCCAGCAGTGTGAACTGTATTTCAAAGGCTATGATCAAGACTGTAAAAATGACAGTGGTAACATTTGTTGCATATGTTCTCTGTTGGTCCCCATTCTTCATTGCACAGCTGTGGTCTGTGTGGTTCCCCAGTGGCATTACTGAAGGTAAGAAATTCTCTGTCCTTTATAATAACTTCATGGCAAACTAATCCGTTGCTACATTGCTTCATATGTGGACTTTGCTTTTGTGTAAAAGTTACGATAGCATTATGATTTGTGAATCATTTAGCTACTATGCTGATTTACATACAGAGAACTTTACATACTATGTGATGAAAACCTTATGAAAGTATGTATTTTGTGTATGTGTTTTGAGTGATGAATGATTCAAAGTTTAGTAAACAGCACAGTGAAAGTAATGCAGCAGGGCTTCAATTCAGACTTTTAGAGGCTTTTGGATATTACAGCAGCAGCATTTGGGGCTCTTGAAGTGAAAATAAATAGTTAACTATTCACAGTAATGAAAAAAGCATTTGTTAGTCTACGGAGCAATGGTGCTATAAGAAATCTGATTTTTAACTTTAATGTTGAAATTATTTTGATGAAATATCTGTGGTACACTGTGAAACGATCAGAAGTTGTGAAACAGCTCTTTTTAAAGCAAAAAAAGAAAAGCAAATGTAGGAAAGACATCAAAGAACAGCAGGCTGAAACAGGATTAATCTTGTCTGACTTGTACTATTGCCTCTTTGTAAAAGGCAGACTCTGTATATGACAATTTAAGTTCACCTATTGAAAACTCAAAGATACATAGATATAAAATAGATACATACATTAAAAAACCCCTGATCTTTGTGAATTCTTTCTAACTATGTGAATTTGAGTATTAGTCTATATATGTTTACATCAATATCTATATCTCTATTCGTTTCTACCTGTATAGCAGGTTTGCAATTGATGTTAAATTTAAAGCAGCTATACCAAGCAAAGAGCTATATGGAAATATTTAACTCTGAAAAGCATACAGTATGCTTCGTAACTTATACAATTACTGCACTGAATGTATGAGGATTTCCCAGTGTTACTGTGAATTTAAGATTTGAATAGGTACATCAGAAAGCATCAGGCAGTGAAAATGTTACTTCCTTATATGAATGTATGATTCTGTGGTTCTTTGGTTCTGTGAATACTTCATTTACTCTGTTACTCCTTTAACTATTTCCTTCCAGGATCAGCATTCACCATTATCATGCTTCTCGGCAATTTAAATAGTTGCACCAACCCGTGGATTTACATGTATTTTTGTGGCCACATTCCATATTGCACAAATAAGCAGCTGGAGAACACATCAGCTCAAGAGGAGTCGGTGGTCACAGGAAGCATTCATCTTGTAGACAGAGACCCTGAGGAAAACAGTACTTGTGCATAAATATTGAATGTTATTTGTATTCTGCTACATTTGCTATGTTCATGAGACTTATCAATATTTTGTAGTACTGAAGCTGGAAAATTGTCTTTTGTTGCTATAAATATGTTCTTCTGTGGTTCTGTAGCATATGCAGAAGTTTCTGTGTTGTACAAGCTTGACCCAATACTTCTATCCTCACTGTGTTAACAAAATGAATTCCTGTATAGATTGATAAAGATACAGAAGGACAACCTGAATATTTTGTGTCTTACACTACTACTGTGATTCTGGATCTCTAAGCACGTTTGTTTTTTTTTTACAACCTGCCCAACAAATTGAGAGAAAGTTGCAGAAGAATCTGACATAATTAGATTTAAATATGTGCTTAAACTGAACTTTAAATTGGTTGTGACTCTAAAGCGATTGGGCATGGTTTGGCAAATCTTGAGAAGGCAGCAGAAAGTCAGAAAAATCAATTGCCATCTGTAAGTAGTACCTGTTATATACATTTATAAAACGCTGAGCAGCTTTATGTCCTCTTATGGAAAATAACTCAGTGTCCTTGTGAGTGTGAACAGCTATTTCGGTTTCAAATGCAGTACAGTGACATTCCAGGTTTGTGGCTTCCTATTACATAGCCATCAATACAGGACGTGATTTTCTCTGCCTTCCGTGTTGGCTGAAACTCTCCACACTTACACACACATATATATGCCTTAAATAGAAACGACTGCCATGGGTGTACACTTCTATTTGGTATTCTGTGTATTTTTGTGCAGGTTGTATTCAGACTCATTTGTTCTGGTATGTGATTTACTGACGGTGGGCTAGGACCTATTCAGGTTCAAATTCAATCATTTCACCTTTTTGGTAAAAATAAATCTGCATCTCTTTCTTTCAGAACTCCATTTGCTTTCTAGTGTGTCAATTTTTTATTCAGGAAGCTATTTCCCTTTCAGTGTCTAAATTTTAATTAGAGCAGTATGGAAGGAATATTAGAAAAGCTCTTTCAGGTGAAAAAAAGAGCTGCCTTTGCAGAGATTCTTGGCAATGCTTGCACATCATTTGCCTACGTTATATCAATGTTTTGTCATTGCTATTCATAATTCATTTTATAAATGCTAGCTATCTCAAATTTCAGTGGAAAAGATATGAGTGTTTTTCAAATAGCCTTTAGGTTGTACTGAAAGTAATTCTGAGTAAATACCGATTGAATAGTTACACTATAAGTTTGTGTGTGCTGATACTGAATATTCTATCATTTCCGTTCCCCATGTAGTTGGAGCATACAAGGGTACTAACCAAATATTGCAGCTCCTCTTAATGGAAGAAGCCAGTGCTCCAGTCCAACTGGCCAGGGTAAGGTTCCAACAAGAAGGAAGAGAAAAAAGTTGGGTGAAGATATGCCAGAGCTAGACAGGAGTGGGATGGCTGTAAAATGGTTCTTCCAACTGCCAATGTTTTGTTTTGGCTTTTATGTTTTTTTCCCCCGTCCCTCTCCTTGATTAACAGTTACTAATTCTCCCCCAAAACATATTCCAAGTTAGGGCAATTATTAACTTAAACAATATCCTTATTTGGAGTATGAAGATCCAAGATGTGATCTGTACTGCCAATAAGATATTTGTTGTATTAAACCGCTCATGTTCCAGAACTTTCTTTCAAACAAGCTCTCAGTTAGGTTCTCCCTTCTGACTTAATCCAGGGATTAAAATTTTTTCTTTTGTCCTTCTGGTTCCTTTGATTACAATGAATTACGTGGTAAAATATGCAGTGTTAAAGGTCAGTGTAAGAAGAAAGGCTTCAGGGAATTACCTATGACCTGGTACTACTGGGTTTGCAGAAAAACACATTGAAAGACTTAGAAAGTATATATATTCATCCGTGGCTATCACTCAACCCTGACAGACACTCTCAGTGAGGAGTTCAATCTTGGATGACAATTTTCTGTAAAAAAATTTCAAATGATGTAAAAAAAAATACTAATAACTATTTTATTTTTCTAGCTCAGTGTTTTTAACAGGACATTTCTTAAAGAAACAGGCATTTAAAAATATAACAGATGTCTTCCCTCTGCAAATTTGGACTTTGGTTTTCTTGATTGTTATAGTCTGAATATCTTGTGCCCTCATTATCCCCTGTATTTTGATTCTTTAGTTGGACTGTATCTTTCCTAATTCACTGTCACTTTGATTTCCAATAGGCGTTAAAGTGTTTCATTAAGAGTGATGATTCTGAGGCATCCTTGTTGTCTGGTCAGGGTGTTTAATCCATACAGGAGAATCAGCAACTTGAACCTGCAAGACCCTGGATGTATTGTGGAAGCACACACAAGTGAAAAAATCCAGTGATCAGATGAAAGCCTTCCTTGTCAGTGCTTAGACCCTGATTTCTCACAGCAATTAATTTCTGAGAAGGAAAATGCAGTTTGCAAGTTCATGCATGAACTGAACAGCTATGTTGTTGATATTGGCAGTGCAGCATAATTTCTGGATATGTGGCTTTGCTTATTTGTTGTTTTTTCTTGTTATGTTTCTTTTTTTTTTTTTTTCCCCTAGGTTTTGTTACCACTTAGAAAAGGCAGAGTTTGGTAGAAAGTATTACATTCTTTCCTAAAAACTACCTTTTTTGTGTGTGTGTGATAGAGGTAGATAAGAATGTAAGATAATGTGATCTGTCAGTTCTGTGTGTATTTATTACAGGGAAAAAACAAACACAGAAACAACAAAGTAGGAGAATGAAAGGAAAATCCAACATGTTTTGCAGTCTTCTCAGCATGTTTTGAAAATTTTGTTATTCAACAGAATCATTTCTGTTTTTTTCATAGCTAGTTTCAGCTCCGATGTTTGTAATGGTGAATACTGAAATCAGAAGTTTGGATGTTAATATTTATCTTTAATCTTTCAGTGAAAAGATATTGGCAAATTTTAAAGATGGTGCCTTACCAATACCCTGCCAATTTCAGTTTGATCACTGACAGTTACTGATTATCAGGTCAAAAAAAGTGCTCCTGTCTCTGTATTAGTGAAGGAAGACTGTCAGCATGAAGTGCAGATCCAAGCTGGAGATGGCAGTCTGTTGTATGAAGCAGATGTGGCATGCAGACATGGCTGTATTGTCTAGCTCCCAAACACACGGCCGGGACAGAAGTATTCTCAAGAGCATGCAGAAGTTCGCAGTTCTTGGCTAAGGAATATCATGTTCAGACAAAGGCAAAGGAAGGTGATCCAGTTGTTCAGTTCTTAAAGAAACATGCAGTTTGGTTTAGATTACTTAGAAGAAAAAAAAAAAAAGACAAAGCCATTTTTTGTTGCCTTCCTAAGTTGGGGATTTGGCCATGCATAGTCTGGGCCATGGACAGGAAGCATGCGTGATTGTAAACTCGATGATTTACATATGGGACAAAACAGTATTGCAAATGAAAAGAGCTTCAAATGGCTATTGTGTGGCAGTAAGGTGATCATGAATCATTTATTTACTACTGTACTGGCCAATCTGTATAGAACTGAACTGAAGACGAACTTTTAAGAAAATTGAAAGTAAAACCTCATATAATTTCTGATCTCACATCAAAACTGATGCTGCCATCCTAAAACCCACCTCCCCTGTCCAACAGACTCCTCTCTGCCCTTAAAGTGCTAAGCAGAGCCTCATGATCCACAGTACTGTGAACGAACTTTGCCCACCCTCATCTCTTGTGAAGGTGCCCCACGTTGTCCACACTTGACCTCTCTGAAATAAAAGTATAACAGCTGTGCCTTATTCCTGGGCTTATAGAAGTCTCCTGCTATTGCCATTTGAGGAATTTTTGGGGGTCATCTCACTAAGAAAGCAAATTCTGGGTATCTGTACAATCCCTCTGTAAAATCTATATTCATTTGCATTTTCACAGGAACAAAAAAACAATGGGTTTTGAGTGAAACTAAGAAAGTCATACCCATAGCCTTCTGATTCCTTTTATTGCCAGCAGACAGACCAAAGCAGATGCCTTCTAACATTAAATAATAGTAACCAACTTCATTAACCTATGTTATTTTCCGGTCCATAGTGTACTTTGGAGCTGCTGAAACTCTAACCAAAGTGTCCACCCAGATGTTGCCCTAGTTATGCAGTGCAAGCACATCTATGTGATGTGATAGTTATAAAATGCTTTTTATATCATGGCTGGCATTCTGAAAGTTCTTCAGAATTAGGGAATTATTTTTCTTCGCTCCTTTTACTACACTCACCAAAACTTAAGATTAGTTTTTGAAGTTGTACATTCCAGCAGCAAATCTGAATTTGCATCAACATCAGGAATCAGTAAAACCTTGTGGAGGAAGCACTTCAACGCAGTTTGGGAAATAAATTTTGGAAAAATCATTTGACCCTGAAGATCTATGGAAATTATGTCTGTGCAATTGGATGCAATTAGTGAGAAGATATATTCCTTTACACCCCGGTAACAACTTGTCAAGGGAATTCATGTGGTAACAGAAATGAAAAAGTTATGAGAAAAGTCTGATGTTATTGTTGTTGTTTTCATCATCACTGTCTTATCATTGTAATCATCGTCATAGTTATCATCATCACCACTATTATTTAAATAAAATCAACATATAACCTACGTTAACTTTTAAGTAAATTACAAATTTGGCAGAGTATAACATACAGAGAGTACTTCTGGAGCTGAATTAACATAAAAAGCATGATTTCAATCACAAATGCCACTTTTATTTCTGATGTTGCTTGTGTTGCTAATTTAGTTAGATAACAAACAGATATATTTAATTTCGTTCTGAAATTAACATTCTAGCCAATGAATTCCATGAAGTGACCCAAAGAAAAATGTTGTCACAAAACCCTAAAAATGAATTTGCTTTTTATATACTTCATCATGTATACATTAAAGCAAATTGTTACTGGTCTTGTATTCCTGGTTTATTCTTGAGTTCAGTTACTATTTATATCCTTAACTTTGAAGAGAGACTAGGAATACAGTCACAGTAGCAATCACAGTATGCTGAAATTGTGTGCCCATGTCTCTAAATGTGTAAATGGATGTCTGGCTTCAAGTAGTATAATGCTGAGTGGCTCCAGCTTTTGACTTACTGTTGGGAAAAATTGTAGTTCATCACTGAGAATGCAAGCTTTCTGGCAAGCAGTCATGATGTGAAAACACTGCTTATTGATACATTTAATACAAATTCCACTCTGTTGGTAATATGATTCATATTCTCAATCCTCTGTTGAACAAGACTGATGAAATCGCGTGTTCTGAGATGTCACATGTTCAGCTGTAACTGTTCACAAAAAATGTTAGCAAAACCTCAGGAAAGAAATCTTCATTTTCTTCTCAGCACCTGGGTATCTTGGCGTTTAATGCATCTGCTGTAAAAAGAAGAGATTAAAAACTCCTTCATAGCATCTGGGCTTGATGTGTTTTTCCATTCCCACAGAGCAGGAATACTGGGTTGTATGACACATGCACAGAGACTGTATTAAAGGAATGAGATGATGGAAAGTCAAACACTTAGATCTCCAGAAGTGCCTGAATGTCAGTATACATGGCTTTATACACCCCTTAATCACATGGAGCTGCCTTTGGGCAGCCTGGCTGCTTCTACAAGTCACAGATAGAGCATGCACCGCAAGAAAAACTTCCCTGACATTTCTGTCCAGTGAAGATTTGTGGGGACCAAATAGGAGTAAGATGTAATATAAAAGTCCCCTCAGCATGCAATAAAACTGTATGTGCACTAAGGTACACACTGGGTAGTTCAAGGATGTTATTTTTATTTAGACTGCCAACAGTGATAAAAATAGATGACTGAAAATAGACCACATGTTATTAACTAGGCTGTCTGCCTGCAGACATGCACACACGGTTTCAGGTAATGCCTGCACTGAAAACACCAGCAGAAGCATATGTGATTGGGCACAAATACAACAAAGCAAATGGCGGTCATACTGAAAGTTGATCCCATTTTTTAGCACATAGGGATATCCTACAAAGGTGTGCTTTTTCACTTTTTCACCTCTCCGCCATTCTGTGGGACTGAGGGAGAAAATGGCACAGCCATGCATCTCTGATGCTGGATTTGTTAGATTATGAATTTCCAAGTATTTCCAGGGAGTGACTGACAGAGGCTTTTTTTGTCTTCATTTTGCCAACACATCATAAAGAAAGCACATCTAAGCACAAAAACATCAGTGCAGAAAATTTGTAGAGGAAGTCAGTCTTGTGCTTTGCATTTAGAAAATCTAAATGCACACAAATGATAAGTAACAGGAATGCAGTACAAATACCTCTCTGGTATATACTCAAAATATTTTTTCAACTGTCACAGTCTTTTTCTTTTGACTCACTTTTGCCACAATCCCACCTTTATCTGATACTTTTAGTAGAAGCTCCCTAATGATTCTGCGATATCTATCAATTTTCTTCTGTGTGATGGATTTTGTTCTGCTGGGAATGAGACAGTTAAGCTCATTTTACTCACAATTTAAGTAAAGACTGTCTCTAAGACACAAGTGTTGAATTTTGTTTTAATTACCCCGGGACTTCATAAAAAATACGTTTTAAGTCCCTGAAATGCAGGAATCAGGTTGAAAATCCGACTTATGTATTAGTTCAGTAGATTCAAATTTTCCTTTAATAAAGATTCTTTTATATAAATCAAAGCAGATGAGAGGAATATCATAAATGTAACATGAGGGCAGTCCGACTGAATTTTAAACTGTGTCAGGGCTCAAAGAATAAATTTATTAATACAAAACAAAGAGTTAACACGAGATTTTGATCAAAAGAAATACAGTATTTTATGTTCATTATGTATAAATTGTACAGAGGCATAAAAGGATTGTCCCTTGAATGCTATTGAATAGGGATGTATATTTGTAACGTAAGTCCATCAGTCTGTAATTTAAAAAATCAATGTAAAAATAGGTGTCTTTACATGTTAAAATGCACAAGTTGTAACACTGCTTTTTTTCTGTACTAATCTCCAGAGCTAAAATGTCGCCTCAGTCCTCAGGTTAAGAAATCAACTGATTACAAGCTCATATTTATATTTGTGTCTTAGACAGAGAGGTGGATTCACACAAAAACTTGAGAATTGAACTGAATTCAAATTGCTCATCAACCTCCCTCATCTGAAAGAGACAGAAATTGTGCAAACATTGTTATTTATCCTAGGAATTTCAGGATTTCTATTAACACTGAACACTATGGAAATTATTATAAATATGCTATGACACTAGCAGGAAGTGTAACAGTATAATAGGGTAGCATAATCATTTTATCAGAAAAATTAATGCCTCAGCACCTTTACATTATTATCAAATGATGGCTTACTTGTAGTAATGACAATGCAAAAATAGAAATACATAAAAAAAAAATGCTTTTAAACTCTGCTACTTTAAATTCTACCTTCACACAATGCCTCAGAACTCCCAAAATTTGTAAGTTAGTTTTATTAATTCAAGTTATTTCAAAATGTCACACTCCTCTGGTGTAAATGGTAATGTAAATGATTCAGATGACTGTAAATGATTCAGATGACTGCTCATTACTGACACCAGCTTTTAAACCTGACTGTGCTCCCCAAGGCATACTGGGCGGTCAGAATTTGAATGATCACCAAGAGATGAAAATGCTTAGTGTGTGATGTGATGGACATGTTAAATCAGAAAACTGGCCTTATTTTAAAAGAAAACCTACAAAACCAGGTAGCTTAATCTGAATCAAAGTCTGAAAATGATTATTTATTTTTTACAGTTTTTGACAAATTCTGCATTTAACAGAAGGGTAAGTTGGAAGACTTTCTTATAAAGCTTCTTCCAGTTCGGTGTTATTTGGGATGAAACTATTTGGTACAAGTTTCAAAAATCCAATATAGCAAAAAAATCATTGTTGCCGAATCATAGGGCATTCCCAACAAGTTTATCATATCATTGTTTTAAGCTGAGGTTTAGCAAAAGGGGATTCATATGAAAACTTGTGGTTTCCTTTGTGATCTGTGAAGAAATGGGAATATTTCTGCTATTATTAATTAGTATTTAAAAGTGTATTTGGAAACACATTAATATGTCCCACATGCAGTCTCAGTACCATTTCCATGCCATGCAGTGTAAGTGCAACTCTCACATACTGCCAGGTTTTTCGTTGCTGTGTAATTGAGTCCCATGTTTGCAGCCTGTCTCGATAGCAAACAAACACATTTACAAAAGCACAGACTTAGAGAACAGTTAGTTAATAAGCATTCTTTCTGCAACATATTTGTGATGGAAAAATGGATTGTAGCAGGCAGATGAAAATATAGGTATGAGGGTCAAATGAATGATGCCAATTTGTGACACAATTGCAGAAGCATTTGTGCTAATTTTTTTTCCTGAGAACAACTACAGCTGTGTAGTAGCTGTGAAAGTTTGCAATTTGTTCATTCTTTAATATATGCACAGTTCAAATTTTAAGCTGCTTATATGATTTAATTTAGGGTTTTTTTACATCTGTGGTTTGAAAACTGATTGTTGTTTGAACAACCTGGCAACTCTTTTGCCCTAAGCCTTGTGGGTTTTTCTCTGAAGTTTGAAAGTATCCTCTTATGATAAAGTTGTAAAGACTGAATTCTGCACTCAAAGCCAATGAATACTTAGTGATAGCAAACTATCACCTTTAGGGTTCTGAATCTTAGGTCTTAGGAAGACATGAGGATTCAGTGTAATGTAATGCTTTGGAAAAACCCATGAGCTGAGCTGAGGGGCAGCCTTCCCCGGCACACTCTGTCTGATATATGGAGGAAGGAGTTATAAGATGCTATAAGATATACATCTTACTCTCCTTTAAGGGTTATGCAGCCATATAACTGGTTTTCTGGTCTTTAGTGATTTGTTCATCCGATAGGAGGAGAGTATTAGATATACCAGTAATCTTCATTGTCATACTGTCATCTATGCTACGAAAAAAGACCTTTAAAGCAGTTCTTTAATGATGATTATACAGAGTGCTATATAAATGTATAGATGAGCACTATTCATTCTATAAAATATTTACTTTCTTTTTTAAGACTAAACACGTTATCGGAATGAAATCTGATAATCAGATAAAAACTGTGAATCACAGAATCACAGGGATTGGAAGGGACCTCTAGAGGTCATCGAGTCCAACTCCTGTGCTAAAGCAGCTTCCCTACCATACGTCACGTAAGTAAGCATCCAGAAGAGTCTTGAACATCTCCAAAGAAGGAGACTGCACCACCTCCCAGGGAAACCTGTTCAGTGCTCCATCACTTTTACTGTACAGAAGTTCTTCTGCATGTTATTATGGAACTTTCTATGTTCAAGTTTCACGCCAGTACTTCTTGGCCTATTGCTATGCACACTGAGAAGAGCTTGGCCTCATCCAGTCGCTCCCCACCTCACTCTAGAAATGTATAAACATTTATCAGACTCCCTCTCAATCTTCTTTTCCCCAGACTGAACAGACTCAGTCAACTCAGCCTTTCCTCATGTGGAAGATGCTCCAGGCCCTTTATCATCTTTGTGGCTCTCAGCTGGACTTCTTCTAGGAGATCCCTGTCTTTTTTGAACTGGGAAGCCCAAAACTGGTGTAGTCTACATGTGACATCATCATGGCAAAGTAGAGGGGGAGGATCACATCCCTAGGCCTGCTGTGCATGCTCTTTTTAATGCTTCCCAGGATCCCATTGGCCTTCTTGGCTACAAGGGTATAATGTTGTCTCATGGCCAATCTGTCCTTCTCTGCAAAATTTCTCTCCAGTGGGCCATCCACAAACCTGTACTGTTGCATATGGTTAAACTCTAAACTTGCTCTTGTTAACCCTCATAAGGTTCCTCCCTGCCCACCTCTCCAGTCTGTCCAGCTCTTGTTAAATGGTAGCACAGCCTTCTGATGTTCCAGCCAGTTCTTCCCTCTAAGTTTCATACCAAGGATGTTTCAAGAGATGGCCTCAAAAGCCTTGCTGAAGTCTAGGTACACAACATCCAGTGCTCTCCCCCCATCTACCCAGCTGGTCATGATATCACAGAAGGCTACCAGGTTGGTCAAGCATGATAGATCCTTAGTGAATCCATGTTGACTACTCCTGATGACCTTCTTCTCTTCCAATTGTTTGGACAGAGCAGCCAGAACAAGTTGTTCTATCAGCTTTCCAGGAACAAAGAAATGATTTTTGTTGCTTAGTAAACTGAAAGTCTGAATATTTTCCAAAGTTTGTTATACTTTTACTGTGAACATCAGCTTTCGAACACAAAGGCTTTCAGGCTGTCTGTCTTTCAGCAGTCTTATCAGAGGTATCAAAACATGTCTCCCAAAGAGTAGCACTGCACTGA